TGTCTATATTCTACACAATTTGTAGAACAGGCAACAAACTCATTTGGTACCAGTCTTATTATTTCATCTTCTAGTACAGTGCCAAAACATCAAGTATTCTGCAGTTTCTTGTTCATGAATACTAGAAATAGGAACCAGATTTCATATACTCATCAAACAGTAGCGTTCTCCTTAAAATTCTCCTCTTAGTGTTACCTGCTCAGAGAAGGCAATTAGTCACATCTTTGCATAACAATTATGAAGCCAAACTACACTTTCCAGCATCTGGCAATTTCTAGTCGTGCTGCTACTAACACCCACCTACCAGATCTTTATAGCATATATGATTGTGTCTGGAAACAGCAGCAGCAAAGCTATTTTGGATAATTGTATCTGAGATGTCATTGAAAATAAGCTGTATTGTTTTGATGCTGAACTTTGCAAAGCAACTGTGTTAAGGTGGAAAATTATTACTATATTACTATTACTATTGAATTGCATTTATATCCTGCCATTTTTCTCTTGTTAAGAACCCCAGGTGGCTTAGCTCCATTTTCTCCTTGCAGCAATAATAGCTTGCTAGAATCAATTCAACTAGGCTAAACCTAGCTAGGCTAGAATCACTTCAGTGCAGGGTCACAAGGTTGGTAGCTGGATTGGAGGGATGCCATATGAGATTAGCTTGAGGGAGCTGGGTCTTTTCAGCTTGGAGTAGACTCAGAGGGGATCTTATAGGGACATATAAGTATGTGAAGGGGTGTCACATGGTAGAGGGTTATGACTTGTTCTCCCCTGTGGTAGAGAACAGGACGTGATCCAGTGGGGCAAAGCTCAAGGAACCAGGTTTCAGGTTGGATGTCAGGAAGTAATGTCGTTAGGACCCCTAGGAATTGAAAATGGCTTCCACAGGAGTTGGTGGAGGCCACATCAGTGAGGGCGTTCAAGGAAAGACTGGGTACCCACATGTTGGGTATTTACATGAGTGAGCTGGTTGGAGCTGGGGGGTCAGACTAGATGGGCTGGGAGACCCCTTCTGACTCATTATGTTTCTATGTAACAATGACTGGGTTAGGTTGGGCTGAGAGTCTGTGACTGGTCCACTCACCCGGTGAGCTTCATAGCCAACTGGGGACTAGAACCTACATCTCCCGAGTCCCCAGTCCAACACTCATAATCACACCACACTGTTTCTTAATAAATGGATTTGATTTTATTTAGCATTTACCTATACCAGTTGCTTTTAATGTGATATTTCCCTTCACATTCTATAAAGGACTTGTGCAGTCTACAACTTATTCAAAACCAGTAACTAAGTAGGATTTACTTTGTTTCACTGTAGGACGTCTACTTATTTAAAGAGGTGCTCATTTCACAGCAGTGCCTCCTTGAAGACGTATGCTTTCTGTCCACTTGCAAGTAAATGCAAGAATAATGACTACTATACACCATCATATCCAATGCCCCCGAATCATATTCTTACCTTTTTTTTTTTTGTAAGACTTCAGCAACTGAAATACTCCTTGTATAGAAAAAGGGAGAAATACCATGCTATCAGAGGAGAAGCTCTTTCCTTGAAAACAGTAATTCAGGAGAAAGGTGTACTTCAGCAGGAAGGAACACAGTTCTTTAAAACAAAAAACCATGAAGTAGCAAATACATTAAGAAGGAAAAGGTAGTTTTACATTTTCCCCTCTATTCCTGCATTCTGGTGGTGAAGTTGAAGCACTATTGATTTTTTACAAAAATTTAAATTATTTCCAGAAATGAGTTGGCATGGGGATGGGAAATTGTGCTGGTCATCACCTGTGATGAAAGTTATCACTTAACCAGTGCCCACAATACTCCACACAACACAGGACTCTTCTATATGAGGCTCTTATAAGTGCCATTGCCCTGCTTCAGTCATGGAATTTTACAAAGTGGTCCAGATGACATTGTGCTTGTTTAGCAAGGTAGTGTGGTAAACAATTGTCTTTGAAATAACGATTTTATCTTGCTTCTAGCTCACTTCTGTTTGAAGTCTGTTACGAGAACAGTGGGGTGGGTAAGCATGTTTAGCTACCAGTTTTATCAAGGAGCTACAGTAACCTCTTAAACTAGAAAAAGATTTTATGCAACTATTAATGAAAGCACAGTTCTTTGCCTGCTTAGACAGAAGAGGCATGCTTGGCTGAGGAAAACTGGAAGTTGAAGGACTTTTTTTTCTATCTAAACATGCATAGGATTGCACCTGAAACTATGCAATATGAGACTGTTAAACACACAAGCTTGCAGTTTTACCTTTACAACAATCAAATCTGGCCTGTTTACCATGACCAGAAAACATAGAAACATAACCTTCAAAGTCAGACTGGGTTGCTTTAGCTGTGTTGACATTAGTGGCAGCAGCTCTCCTGGCTTTCAGACAGGAATTTTCCAGACCTGCTGGGGGAACTGAATCTAAGACCTTCTGCATATGAAGCTGGTACTCTGTCATTGACCTATGGCCCCTGACCTGCAAAGTCAGCAAGTCACTCCATAGCTTAAACTATGCAAAAGATTGGTTGCCAGCATTACAATTGTAGGATTTAAAGGCATATATCAAGGGTGGTGCTAGGTAGCTAGAAGATCAAGCCCATAGGCAGACACACATTTACATTTGCTTTAAAGTCTCTGTTTTTAAAGAACCTTGCCCCCCCCCCTTAAAAAGTCTTATGAGCAAGAGAAAGACATTTAATTTCAGGGGGGAAAACAGGAAGGGGGGCAGCAGGAAGAGAAATCTGGACAAACAGCTAATGGGGGGGGGGTCAGATGCAACAGATACCATCAGGTTTATTTTAGAAAGAGAAGTAAATGCAACTTTATTTCAAAAAGTGCCCATAGACACCAGGGTGGTCAGGCAGATGGCCTCCCTAACATTTGGGGCTCAAAATCTTAGTGAGCTGGCCCCTAATAAAACTTCTACCATACATTTTTTATTAAAACCCGACATACACTTAAGTTCACCTTCAACATGCTTCCCAGAGCTGGGCTGAAAAATCCAAAGAAAAGTTGTAGGTGTAAAGGGGCGATAGTGGATACAGTATGTGGCAGGCAAATGTCATGATGTGAAAATTAATGTTGCTACCTCAATTAAGTCTTTCCATGATTTGGGATGCACTAGCCACTATGGAAGCTCCCTGTGTTGCACATAATATCCAGCGGAAACGTACAAGAATTGGGAGGCTGGCAGATGACCCGCCATGGCAAATCTGTAGCACCATCACTTTGCGCAGCGCTGACTGCGGTGGTAAAGCAGCACAGCGACCAGGAAGCCGCCGGTATCTGGGACTGACTGTTCTGTTCGTTCCCCGGGAGGGGGCGCGATTGCATTCCTGCCGTGCCTGGAGGTCCTTTATCGTATTATTGCTATAGAATAGCGCCTCCACAGCTAAACGCCGTCAAAGTTAAAGCCGCGTGATCTACAGAGTTAAGAAAAATAGAGTAAGCAAACTAATCGGGATTCTCCGCGTTGAAATTGGAAGACATCCGTCGCCCCTAGGGCAGAAGGCAGAGCTGTCCATCAAAATCAATGGGAACATCTAGGATTTTAGCGGACTTATATTGGACAGCCCTATGCCCACCTGGAAACATAAAAGTAAGGATTGCTGTTCATCATCCTAACTTTCTGCTGCTTTAAAAAAAAATTTTAATGGCTTGTCGATAATAGAAGTCATTTATTACCCGTATTACACCTCATGGGTAGGGAAGGCTGTGAGAGAGTGATTTAACAATTCTCCTGCAAGATAAGCCTCTGCAGTGTTAATTCACAGGTAAGCCGGAGATTGGTTTGAATATCCAGCTGCAAATCCCTTATATTAAATACCCATCTGGTTGTGCGAAGAACGATCTACTTAAGTTGTATCTTCTCAGTCCAAACTGAGCCCTTGATTGTATACTGAAGGCTTGTGGTCCATTAGCTTTCCATGTTCAGTTTCTGAGCTTTTAACTGCATTCTCCTGTGCATATTGATAATATAATATGCTATAATATGATAGCATATTATGTTATCAATATGCATAGGATATTATACACTGTTGTTGTTAGTCATGAAGTCCTGTCTGACCCATCGCGACCCCATATGGGGACAACATTCCTCCAGGTTCTCCTGTCCTCCACCATCCCCAGAGGCCACTTCAGCTCACACTGACTGCTTCAGTGACTCCATCTAGCCACCTCATCCTCTGCCGTCCCCTTCTTCTTTTGCCATCAATGGTTCCCAGCATTAGGCTCTTCTCCAGTGAGTCCTTCCTTCTCATTAGGTGGCCAAAGTATTTGAGTTTTATTGCCTGTACCTCCAGGACTGACTGGTTTGATCTCCTTGCAGTCCAAGGGACTCACAGGAGTCTCCTCCAGCACCACATTTCAAAGGCCTCAATTCTTCGGGGCTCAGCCTTCCTTATGGTTCAGCTTTCACAGCCATACATTACAACTGGGGAAACCACAGCCTTGACTCTACACACTTTTGTTGACAGGGTGATGGCTCTGCTTTTTAGTATGTAGATAAAAAGTAGATTTGCCATAACTTTCCTCCAAAGGAGCAAGCGTCTTTTAATTTCTTGGCTGCTGTCCCAGTCTGTGGTGATCTTGGAGCCCAGGAAAATAAAATCTGTCACTACCTCTATTTCTTCCCCATCTATTTTCCAGGAAGTGATAGTTAGCTCATAGCTTCATTGCTACACAAGCCCCTTCGCCACAGCAAGGCAGTGATCCATGAAGGGGATTATACACAGTACAAAACATAAATACTCAGAAGTTCCACCCTGTGCAATAGAGATGCTTTTAGAGAAGCGCGTGTGAGGCCTTACACCATGGCAGGCTTGGGAGTTGTAGTCCAGCAATCTTGTGGGCACCAGCCTCACACTCGATCAATTCATCTCCTTCAGACTTAACCTCACCGGCTGGCAGCAACCTTGAGTCTTTCTGGTCCTGACTCCGGGCACTGCAATGCAGGAGCAGACCGGCTCGCGCTCGGACGATGCCTGCTTCCTTCAGAAGTTTAGGACTACGACTCCCATGTTTGTTGCCCGTGGGCTGTGCCGCTTGGAGCTGGCGGAGAATTTAAACAGCCAAACCTTCGGAGACCACCCAGTGGAGGAGGCCGTTCTACGGACACAACGAGGACGGCGAACTGGAAGTGCGACTCCAGGGTTGGTCTATACGCAGTAGGTCTATGCTTCGGGCCGCGCTGCGGAGGCGGAAGTGGCGCTAGGAGCCGCGGGAACGCGTTCCAGGCAGAGATGAAGCCGACCGAGCTCCGCGCCGAGAAAGGGTGAGGTCCGCGGCCGCTGCTCTCCCTTCGCCTTCTCCTGCCCCCGCTCCGTTCTAACATGCGACGTGCCAGCAGCGCCCGTCGATCCCGGTCGGTCTGTTCCTTTTCTGTCCCGTGCCGGCTGGCCCGCCCTCTGTATGGAGAATTGCTAGAGCGTAAGACTCTTTTCCTAAGGCCTGCCCGTTGCCTTAGAAGCCTCCCCTTCCCCACACACACGCCAGCACCTCATGCAGTGGGAGCACTAGGCGTAATAAAGCAGTACCGTATGAAGAGCACTCTGCAGATGTTCAGAGTTCCTCTTTTCTTTAGAATTGCTCTTCATATCTTAAAGCTGAGCTCTAGTATTGAAAACTTTACCTGAAACTAGTTTGCAATTCGTGTTAGTGTTCAAAGATAGTTTTGGGCTCATCCATTTTTGGGCTCATCCATTTATCATCACATTTTTAGGAAACTGTGAAGCCTTGCTGCTTCACATTTTTGAAACTTTAATGGAAACAGGACTTTTAGTTTACTAAAAGGTACTCTTTAGAATCAGTTATATATATCTGTATATATATATTTACATTTTTGGCATTTCTGTGCTTGTCTAATTAGAAAAAAGTTCTGTGTGCTGGTTGGCAAAGGCTGGGAGTTGTAGGGCTTTATCTGACTAAACATGCATAGAATTGGACCCTTAGGCTGTAGATACCTAGGAATGGATTTGTCACAAGCACACTCCTATAATTTGTTGGGTTACGGTGTGTCTTTAATTCTCCTAATTTTTCTCTCTTCCTTTTGGTGTATAAAATCCCACCAGAATTTAATTCTAAACTAATTTAACTTCTCCCACAGTATTGTGCCTAAGCTATAAGGCTCCTTCATTAGACCATGTGATCTTGAGGATGAGCAACTGGTATTCAAACTGCCTATGACACTGACTGAACAATAAACAAATAAAACTTTATTTGTACAAGAAGCATATTGGTGTCAAAGTATATCACTCTTTCCCTTCACAAACAGTCCTCAGACACAGATCCTCCTTTCTCTCCTGCACACAGGTTTCTGTCAGCTTCTATCTCTCACATCCTTAAAATACTTGACATTATTAGGTTTTGACTCTCCCTAGTCACTAATATGTCCTTCACATATTCTGCTTCCTTCCCTTTGTCCTTATGAATCCTAAATGCTTTCCACAGCACTCCTTATGATCCTAAAGATTGTTCAGATTTTGCAGACCACTGACTGATTCCAACCAACTGACCACAACTGACTGATAGGTTCTGGCAGACCACAACTTTCTGCCTTCTCTCTCACCTCTCTCCTCATACCTTCCAAGCTCCACCCATACACTCTTAGTCACCAACCAGTCACCTTACTGTCTTATCCCACCATTTTACCCCTTTTGCCCTTCTGAAACTTACCAACATTTAAAGGAACACAGTCTCATAACACTTTAAATCATTGAAGGTTTGAATGAGATTTATGTCTGAATAGACATGTAGGATTGCAGTGTTACTCTCCAATTCTATACACATGTGTCTGGAAGTAAGCCTTATTAAATACAGGAGTGCATCGTTAGTAACTCCTTAAAATGTTAAGCCTGATTCATAGCATATGTATATATGAAATCAAAATAATAATCAATGTCCATATTTATCTTTTTAATAGCAAACCTTGTGAGAGAGATGCTGTTAGTACATCAAATGAGGATTATACTGTGGGGCAAGTGGCCAACAGTCTGTTTCAAAATAAACTCAAAGCATGTGGTACAGCTTCCCTGGTGCAACTATTCAGCACTCCTGGGGCCAAAGCCCAGCCAGTGTATGTTGCACTGCCAAGAGTAAGTACAGTTTTTTTTTTCTCCCAGACCATTTCCAAAAGTTTGAGTTCAATATTCTGTGTTGAGTCTTTAGCAGTCTTTTTGTCAAATTACTAGGTCACTTCCAGTTGCTTTTAGTGGGTGTGTCTGGGCCAACTCAAGTTTTTTCCTTCTGTCTTAGCTGAAGAACTTAATGATGCTTACTGACATATTCAGGCTAGTAGTTAAATCTTGTTTCAGCTTTGCAAATGGGACAGCAGTCTTCACTGCATCCAGTGGCTTCAGGATAATTTAGGCAGGGGTGGACGGAAAGTAGATCTCCAGATGTTTTGGACTTTAGTCCCCCAAATTTAGTCCAGATCTGGAGAACTACCTTCTGCTAACCCCAGCTTACGCAATGTGTGCTGCTCCAAGATTTGGCTTACAACTTCCTTTATTCTTAGTCAGCATTGCTAGTGGTGAGGGATCATGGGAGACATGGACCAAAGCTTCTGGAGGACAAATTGGCCTTCCCAATATTTATTTATCTATTTATTTAAAACATTTGGATGTCGCCCAATTGTGCCACAGCACCTCTGAGCGGCTCATTACCAGCAGGTAAAAACATAATAAAAACCACAAAACATTAAAAACATCAATAAAATACAGTAAAAATACAAAACCAAGGTCTTATGGCAATTAGTTTGTTTTTTTTTAAACAATAGGAAGGTCTAGAGGAGGCACAGATCAATGAAGCAGCACAATCTGCCAACACTTCCCTCCTGGTCCCAGTGTCTGAAGCTTGAAGTAACTGCCCCTCTGCCTAGTCCTAATTCATGTAAGGGAGATTGAGGCTGAGAGGCTTTCCTACTTTGGTCAGAGCTGGGGCCAATATGTAGATCCTGCATGTAATTACATTCCCTTATTTAAAGCTAGGTAGAAACTGTATGTGAGTATTGTTGAATCTGCTGCTTCCCTTGATTCCTGACAGGCTTTTGGTTTCAAGCAGTTTTCAGAAATGTAATTTCTCCTCACCAAGTCTTGTTCCTGAGGAGTTGGTAGTTGATTTTAGCACCCTGCTGCTATCTTTGAGTTTTTAAACTGTACTGTTCTTACTGAAACTTTTAATATGTGCTGTGCTATTACTATTATTATTCTGCTGCTTCACACTATTGTTATTTTTTTTTCTGCTAAGCCCCTTAGGGTTTAGACCTGAGAAAGAGGTTAAAAACGAAATCTACACAGTCTGTCACTGTATGCCAGTGTGGTGTAGTGGTTAAGAGCATGGGACTGGGACTCAGAGGATCTGGGTTCTAGTCCTCGCTCAGCCATGGAGCCAACTGGATGACTTTGGGCCAGTCACAGGCTCTCAGCCCAACCTACCTCACAGAGTTGTTGTGGGGATAAGATGGAGGAGGAGAATGATGTAAGCTGCCTTGAGCCCTTTGCAGGAAAAAGGCAGGATATAAATCGCAATATAAATAAATAAATGCTTGGGGCTGCAATCTATTTAGTACTACCTTAATCAAAGAGTTGACGAGTATTTAGCTAATTCTCTCAGTTCAGTTTGCATATTCATAAAATCAACATGCTTATTTTTTTAAAAATGTAAATATTTTTGATTCTTTGCTAAGATTTTTTCATGTTACTTCTCTCTAGCATGGAAAATGCCAGCTGACTTTCCCATCTTTGGAATGCCTCAGCAATTTTGAATATTAATAATCTGTCATCCAGTGACTCCTGGAACTTAAAGAATGTGGTTAATCCCCATCTGCCCCAAAATACAACTTATCTCAGATAGATATGTATAGCTTGCTTGCCGAGGTATAGAACTGAAACTTACCCAGTACTAACAAGATCCTGAAGTTCAACAGGGTTAACAAAACCCCCAACTCTCTTGTTAAAGATCTCTAGCTTGTTTGAATTGTGAGGTAAATCCAAGGCAGTTAAGAAGTCATTCAGCATGGAAAGTGGGATTTGCAGTGCAGTTCTGAAGATGTTTACTCAGCAGTGGGGTTCCAGCTGAGTTCAGTGTGGTATCTGCCCTGGTGATCATGCATTGGATTGTGGCCTTGGATCAGTGTGTTTGAATCTTAATCCAGTTGAGAAAGAAAGGAGAGCACCTCTTTATCTCAAGAGGAGGTGGGCATGCGCCCTTGCGCACCTCTCCTTGCAGGGATACATCACCTTGCTACTATGCTGGAGCATACCTGGGTTGATGTCCTGTTCTCCTTGGGCTGTGCAGGGAAGGCAGTGTATTCTGACCCTTTCACACTCCTTTTAGCCATCTTGGCATGGTCAGGACTAAAAGGAATGAAAGAACTATTGTGCCTTTCCCATCCCCCAGCAACAGCCCTCTATGCAGGTTCTCATTTCAAGTTCAGATCTGGCAGAATTCATTGAAAGGTTATACATGTTTTATACTTCAGTTATAAGCCCACAGAAGGTGATACTTCTGCGTAAGTTACAGTTTAATCATATTTCATTGGCATGTTAAGCCTTTAAGTCAGACTAGAGATTGACTATTGTTTGCCATCACTGAAAAATGACAGATGACTGTTAACATGAAGAAGGGAAAAACACTCATTGTTCACATCATGTTCTTTATAGCTGTTGATCTATGAGAAGAATTTTCATCCTTTGTGGTGGTACAATTTAAGCCAATGTTAGCAGTCTCAAAAATAGCAGCTGTTTAATACTGATAACTCTGCAGTGCCATAAAATCTTTTAATAATGGCTCGTTCGTTGAAAGCTCACAAAGTCATTGCACTGTTGCGATGCATTTGTCAGCTGTCACTAACAATGTTTAGACAGAGAATCATCAGCACACCTCTTGTCACCAACAAACATTATGGACAAAGCTATCAACAATCCCCTGTGGATGATTAATATAAAATTTGTGAAATTAACATTTTAGCCAGAAGTTCATTTTTCCTTTCAGAAAGGTTATTTCATAAAAATATGCACTCCACTGATACAGATAATGGAAGTGCATGATTACTATTAAGTATAACTTTGCATTTTTAAGTAAAATTGCATGTTTATTTTAGGCCTGATATGTACTTTGCCCCTGAAGTCTGAAATCCATTCCTGCAAGGGTTGATTTAGCACTGCACTGGCTGGGTTCCTATAAGCCATCTAGTTACGTTAAGATTGTCACCATATGGTAAATACGTTGATTTGGATCCAGCAGCCAGCAAAGGAAAAACTGCTGGCCAAATAAATTTCTCCTCCACCTCTGTAGTCCCCTCCTGTGCCCTTCCAAAATCTGATTCAGAGGGTTGGGTCACCTTCTAGAGCTGATCAGGACAGAGCTGCAGCAGGGAGGAGAGGACAGAGAAGTCCCATAGCAGGAACAGACTTACATTAGCGTGATGTTGTATTAGAGATCATATGTGAGCAGTTTAGCATAAAAAAACAACTTCAACATAAGTGGATTTGCGGTGTGGAGGGATAGTAAACTGTCTGCAGTGTATATTTTATTTTATCTCTGCCTTGCATTTTTTATATTTAACCACACTGTGGCAAACTGTTGAATATCACTTTTTCTAACAGGAAAATAAAAAACGCAAGCATACAGAAGAGGAAACAGCCACAGAAGTTAAGAGCTCATCTACTAAAAGGGAGCCTTTCAAAAAAATTAAAAAAAATAAGAAAAATCTCTCTCTAGCAAAGGAAAGAGTGGCAAACAGGTACATGAAATATTTCTAAGGTTATTAAGCTGAGCATCCTGCATTAAAAACAACCATCACCCTCTCCCCAAGTTGGACTTAAAGCCTTGGTCTAAACTGTTTTTTTAAGTTGATTTCTTTCTCGAGGTTCTAGGGATGAGGCAAGTTAGAGATTTTATAAATTTAGCATGAGATTTGCCTCCTTCTGTGTCCGTCTTAAAGGATGGCAATGTCATGAAAGTAAATGCACTCTTGTCTTAGAATAAAGCAAACTGAAGGCTCACAGTTATTAAGCTTGTAACATATGAATTGGCTTCTAGAAAACAATACTATATATGTCTCATTGGAAGCAACCACATGCTGTTCAATTGGTCTTGAGTAGCTTTAGTCAGCTCAAATACATGTACTCCTTTTCCTCAAAGAGTTGTCAGCTGCACCTAGATTGAATGACAGTACTTTCATACCCTGAATATAGTTCTTTCCAGTCTCATTAGCAATTGAAGGTAGGGGTGTTTTAGTGACTAGGTAGCTTTAAAATACAGAATGTCTAAAAAAGCACTCACTAACAACTTGGTTTCAATTTTTCCACAATTCTTCAAGGGAATGTGCTTTGGGTGAAGCAGATGAAGAAGAGGAGAAAAAAGAAGCACAAATCAAACAAAAGTTAAAAAACAGACGCTCTTCACTGGTTACCGGACATCATTCAACTTCAGATATAGATACAGGAATTAAAAAAAGAGCACAAGTCAACCTGGCTGCAGAGATGCTAAAAAATAAGAGGACTCTTTTTGTGGGGAATTTACCTGTTAGTTGTACAACACAGGTGAGTAAGTTTGGGGAAGAGCCCAGGTGCTTTTTAAGGAGTAAGATTTTATTTATTTATTTAAAACATTTTTATGCCGCCCCCATCGCAACAAAGCCTCGGGGCTTTGTTACCAAATTATGTTACCAAACATACTTTCTAGGAAATACGTTTATCTGTTTTTCAGATGTATATCCTTCCTTTCTTCCAAAGAGTTCAGGATGGTCTGTCCCCCATTCCTATTTTTACAATAATCCTGTGAAGTAGATTTGTCTGGGATGTAGAGACTGGTCCAGGATCAGTCAGGATACTTGATGGTCAAGTGGAGATCCAACCCTATGTCTCTCCAGTCCTTGTCCAGCACTAAGCACTGCAGCATTCTGACTCAAACTATGTACCTTTGGCTCTGGTGAGATTTTCTTATGAATGAGAAGGAAAGTATGAGTAAAGAGTGGGCAACTTCAGGAAGATCTGGAGCCATTTTTACTTTTGAGTGGGAAAAACCCATTCTGCAGTTGGTTGGCGTATCCTTAAGTAACATTAGTAACATGTTGTAAGCCGCCCCGAGGCTTCGGCGAATGGGGCGGCATAAAAATGTTTTAATAAATAAATAAAATAAATAAATTAGAAAAACAAAAATAAAATGGCATCTGTAGCATAACAAAATGCTAAATGGGTTAAATCTAATACATTTGCAAACACAATATTTCCTGTGTAGCACTCTATAGCTGTTATGGAGCACTAAAAGGTCACCTGTTGTCTGCAAAGAAGCTGAATTTGCCCCCTTAAATGCATTGTGGTGCTGAGACTTAAGTTTGGGATGTCCTGCAAATTTATCTGCACTTTGTGAACTGCATGTTACCTATCTCTGTTATAAGTGTTTATACAATAAATTGCACCTAAATTTGAGTTTTGTTATGTTGATTTATCAAGCTACATCATACTCTGTTTTCTTTTTATCTTAATACTGGAATATATAATCTAGTTTTACAGGATAACTGTTTCTTGGCCTGTTGGCTAAGATCAAGTATAGTTTTAGAAGGTGCCGTTTTTACTGTTCTCTGTTTCTCTTATTGTTTCTCCTAATACAATAAATACTACATAATTAGAAGATTTTGTTCTTTCTATATGTTGTAATGTAAACCAAATAAAGGTTATGTGGAGAACCTAGAGTTCCCTCACTTTGTATAGGTAAAATATTTGCAACTTGTTCTCATTTGTGTTTGCATCAACTAATTAGACTAACAGTCTGTTTTAATTTAGATGTTGAAGACATTTTTCAAAGAATATGGACAAATTGAATCAGTTCGCTTCCGCTCCCTGGTATGTTGGTTACATTTTATAATAGTTGTATGACTTAATTGGGATTAGGTCTTCAGTCTCTGGATGGGCAAAATTCTACAGCCGGTGGGGAAAAGGTAGCAGATGACAAATCTGCCAAAGTGCTATGTTTTCTTTGTCCAAAGTTTGTTGGATTATATTATTTTGTGGCTTGCAGTCTCTCCTTATGGCTGGTTTTAAGTTGCGCTAAATAATGGAATTTGTTGGAGAATACTCTCTATTTTATAGTAGTTTGCAATAAAGCAATTTGTTTTGTATTCCATCCTACCCATGTTTACTTGAAGCCATGTCCCACTGAGCTCAGATGGCTTTACTTCTTAATAAATATATCTAGGCTTATCTCTCATTGAAATATAAATAAGTACAAGCTTTGTCCCAAAGGTGGATGATGATACTTTTATATATCTGCTAACCCAAAAAAGAGGTTATCACAGATAGATAGGAGATTGAACTTGAATGAAAGAATCTGTGAAACTGATGTTCCATTAAGCACTTGGTGTATCTTACGGATTTTAGAAATGCATGAGGGATAGAACTGTGTTCATTTGCTGAATTTCATGGCTGCAAACAATGGCTTGGATTTGATATGAAAATGTTATGTCTGATGCAAAAAATCTTCATGAACATGCGAGACATTAACAATGCAGGAATTTTCTTCTGTTTATTGAGACTTGATACTTATCCTAAGGGCTTGTATCTAGGAGTGGACACAACAACAGTTTGAGAGGTCTGTCTAGATGGAAATGGATAAAACAAAGGATGGAGAGGGTGTTAAAAAACTCTCGTATTCATTCTGTCCCGTCTGACTGTTGCTGGAAGGCTTTGGAGATTGGAGACCTCTGTCTGTTGTCAGTCTTTTAGGATTGCCCTGTAGTTTTACTAATTCATTGCCTAAGAATTTGGTAATGATTTTTATTCTCTTAAGTTGGGTGCTAGCATAACTAAAAGCATAACTGATCCAATTATCTCTCTGGAAAATCTGTTTTATCTAACTATATTTTTAAAGCCAATCCAAAATATTCATAATATGTTGCATAGCACAAGACCTACCAAATAATACACATCTATTTTTTCTTCTTTTAAGATTCCAGCAGAGGAGTCTTTATCCAAAAGAATGGCAGCTATAAAGTAGGTGATATAACTTCTCTTTTACTTTTGGGAGGCCTCCCCCACATACATGTTAACGTAATATGTTAAATTTGTTAACCAGTGTTATTTTCAAAATAAAAAGCTTGTAAATAAGACCCTTATCCATGCAGTTTTCAATAGATCAAGTGGCTTTTCAATTGTTCTCAGCCAAAGTAAGAGCAATTCATAGCCCAGTCCTGTAGGTCTATGTATCCAGTGTTAGTCCTACTTAAAATAAACTCGTTGAAATTAACAGCACTTACATTATACATTGCTACAGCTCTTGAAGTGTAAGGAAGCTCCAGCTTTTTACTCAGCCTCTTACTTTTATAGATCTGGTACAAGTCTACCTTTTGAGGCAAATAAAGGCCTCGTAGGATGCCTGCCAGTGGGTTAGGACAGGGTTAGGACAAGCAACCTGTCCCTTTCAGCCATCCATTTGGGTTGGGAAAAGTACAGAAGTGACGGATCTTATGTGTTTTGGGGAGGCATCAGGAAAGGATAGCATTCAGCAATTCCTTAGAGAGTATGCTATTCCATTGTACGCAGTAGAACTTGCACTTAAGTCATATGTTGAAGATTGTGCTGCAAGTTCTAAGTTCTCCTAAGGCCAGTCTTAGAAATTTGTGACTGCAATTTCCAGTGAAATCTCCAGTAAACATTCTTTTTTCTTCAGACGAAAGATGCATCCCAGCATGAAATATGTTAACGCTTATGTCGTATTCAAGGAGGAATGTGCAGCTAATAGCGCCTTACAACGGTATTTATTTGCTGATGAAATTTGATTTTTAAAAATATCAGGGTAGATAGTTATCTGTACAGATCTTAACAACTGAAATGCTAGTTGATTGCTCTAATTACCTTTACCTGTTATGACTCTAACAGCAATGGAACAGAATTTACCAGTGGATTCCACATTAGGGTTGACCTTGCTTCAGAATCCACTTCTGTAAGTAATTCAAATGCTGTAGTAAGAAACTCCAGCCCCTCCCACCCCAAGGTTTTTTAGGCTATAGATTCAATTATTTTCATTTGCTTGTTTTACAGCATGATAACAAGAGATCTGTATTTGTGGGAAATCTGCCTTATGGTAAGTGTTAGGTGATATGTTGTACCTCTTCAAACATAGGTAAACCACTCTGGTAAAAAAGCTGCAATTAGAGAGCTTGATGAAATCCACCTTTCAATAGCTTTTGCACATTAATGGATTTAGACTGTATCTAGAACATGAACAATATTCCTAAAGGCATATTCCTTTCTAAGAAACCAAACTCAAATAAATCAAGTAATGTGTGTTTTACAACAAGTATTTTACTCTGCCAACCCATGGCTTATTCTGTTTGAACCAGGATTTGTGGTTTAAAACAAATTGTAGTTTGGGAGCATACAGGCTTTTTGGTCCTGAGGGCAGCATCAGTCAGTAGCCCCTCAGTATACAGACACGTATGTGTACATGAGCCTGGAGTTCAAAGACAAGGTCAAAGTTTCTTGTGCTAGCAAGGGAAATGCCACATTCTCTCTCTTTCGAAAAAGGTGCATGCAGGGAGGGCTGGCAGGTCATAAGAAATGGCTTAGCAGCCACACTGTTTTGCACTTCCTCTTTTAGTTCATTAAATAATGCAGATAAACAGTCTAGATTCGTTAGCTTCTTTAACTGGTAAGCTTAGTCAGACTAGATTTTTTTTTATTAAACTATGACTTTAGGTTTATCCAAATTGGGAAACATGGAACTAAAGTTGAAGGGAGTTCTCTTCTCAAATGCATGGGAGGAAGAGAGGGTACAGGGGGGTATATGGGCCCCAAGTTTGCTTTAGGTTCACAGATGCTGTTGTATGTAATACTCAGTCCTGTCATAGTGTTGTGGATGAGCACAGCTTTGTCCACATACAAGTGCAGAGGTAAAGAAATAACTCAGACAGTAAATATTTCTTCCATTTAAATCTGAAAGGAAAATGTTTAGAATTTTGACATACACTTAAAACTATATTAACACCAGTACACTTTTTCCTCAACTATCTTTTGCTTACAGAAATTGATGATGCTGTTGTAAGAAACCATTTCTCTCAATGTGGGAATATAGCTGGTGTGCGAATTGTGAGAGATCGGAACACAGGCAATGGCAAAGGGTTTGGTTATGTTCTTTTTGAGGTATGTTAGCAACTAGTCAATACCTGTCATGGTAGAAATTTGACATGACGTTATATCATGTTGAATGCTTGATGTGGTTGAAAATAGTGTTGCATGTTCAGCTGAAAACTCAGCAATGTACCAACTAAACTATACTCCACTGGAAACTGCACCAGCTCAGCTAACAATAACATCATATCCAGGTATCTCCCCTATACTTACCTGTATAGAGAAGATCACCATTTAAGTAGCATTACCATGGTAAGGTTAAATGCATGTAGGCCATTCTGAAATAGGCAACCCTCCATTATTAGGTTTATTTATTTAATTTCTATACTGCCCCTCAGCAAAAAAACCCCGCTCTCTTTTTGGTTACTGAGTGCACCTATGCAGTAACCTTCCCCTCTCAAATACAGGCATACCTCATTTTATTGTGCTTTGCAGATACTGTCTTTTTAAAAAAACAAAAATTTATTTGTTTATTTATAAAATTTGTATGCCATCCAATTACTAACGTCTCTGGACAGCTAACAGCATAAATAAATTGACAACCCACTCTAGCTGCAAATACAGTATTAAAGTTCAATATTAAAACATATTAAAATATTGATTAAATAAAAAGGTCTTAACCTGGTGCTGAAAAGCATATAATGAGGGCTCCAGGCAGACCTCTCTGAGGAGCACATTCCATAGTCAGGGCACCACCGCAGAGAAGGCCCTCCTCCAGGTACTCTGTCTCCTAACCTGAAATGGGTCCAGATAATCCAAGATCAGTTTCATCAGTGGAGTTGTCCCGTCACCACCCATTCCAGCACCTTGCCCAAAAACGGGATGTTGGCCACCGGTCTATAATCGGTGGCCATCTCTGGATCCAGAGACGCCTTCTTTAGGACAGGCCTGATTACCACCTCCTTTAAAGGAGTGGGTGCCTGGCTGTCCCTCAGAGAGGCGTTAATAACCTCCAGGATCCAGGAACCAATCCTATGTTTGGTTTTGGTCAGCAGCCATGAAGGGCAAGGGTCGAGTAAGAAGGTGGTAGGACGTACTTGTCCAAGAACCTTGTCCAACATCTGGCCGCGTTAACTGAAATTCAGCCATTAATACCTGACCAGACGGGGTCATTGGTGTTTCCCCTAAGGGATCTGAATCAATTGTGGAGTCCAGCTTGTGACGAATCTGAGCGATTTTCTCCTTGAAGTGCTGGACAATGTCATCACAGCGGGCCATCGATGGTGGTACAGGATCTTTCCTAGGGCCAGGGTATATCAGCTCATGTACGACTCGAAAAAGCTCCGCTGGACGGCACTGTGAGGAGGCAATGGAAGTGGAGAAGAATTCCTTCTTCACTGCCCTCACCGCCACAGCATAGGCTCAATAATGAGCACGTAAGCTTATTATTGAAGGCTTGTGGCAACCCTGTGTTGAACAAGTCTTATCAGCACCATTTTTCCAACAGCATTTACTCACTTTGTGTCTCTGCATCACATCTTGCTAATTCTCGCAATATTTCAGATTTTTTCATTATCTTATTTGTTATGGTGATCTGCAATCAGTGATCTTTGATGTTAATCTTGTAATTGCTTTGGGGTGCCACAAACTGCACCCTGTAAGACAGCCAACTTAATTGATAAATGTTGTGTGTATTCCAACTGCTCAGCCATTTCCTCATTTCTCTCCCTCTCCTCTGTCTTCCCTATTCTGAGACACAATGATATTGAAATTAGACCAATTAATTACCATATAATGGCCTCATAGTGTTTAAGTGAAAGGAAGAGTCACACATCTCTCACTTTAAGTAAAAAATAAAAATGGTAAATCTTGGCAAGGAAGACATGTTGAAAGCTGAGATAGGCTGAAAGCTAGGCTTCCTGCACCAAAAAGTTAGCCAGATTGTGAATGCAAGGGAAAAGTTCTTGAAGGAAATTAAAATTGCTACTCCATGAAAGATGAGAAAGCGAACAGCCTTATTGCTGATATGGAGAAAGTTTTAGTGGTCTGGATAGATGATGCTGGATAAACCAGCATTCCCTTAAGCCACAGCCTAATTCAAACTCTCTTCAATTCTATGAAGGCTGAGAGAGGTGAGGAAGTTGCAGAAGAAAAGTTTGAAGCTAGCAGAAGTTGGTTCATGAGGCCTCCATAACAAAAGTGCAAGTGATGCAGAAAGTACTGATGTAGAAGCCACAGCAAGGTATTGAGAAGATCTAGCTACGCTAATTGATGAAGGTGGCTGTCCCAAACAACACATTTTCAATATAGACAAAACATCTTAGATTAGAAGAAGATGCCCTCTAGGAATTTCGTAGCTAAAGAGAAGTCAGTGTGTGGCTTCAAAGCATCAAAAGACAAACTGACTCTCTTGTTGGGGGCTAAGGCAGTTGGTGACTTTTAGGTTGAAGCCGGTGCTCATTTACCATTTCAAAAATTCTAGGGCATAATCCTTTAGCATAATCCTTAAGAATTATGCTAAATCTATTCTGCCTGTGCTCTAGAAATGAAACAACAAAGCCTGGATAACAGCACATTGTTTACAACATGGTTTACTGAATATTTTAAGACCACTGTTAAGAAGAAAAGATTCCTCTCAAAATACCACTGCTCATTGATGATGCACCTGATCACCCAAGAGCTCTGATAGAGATGTACAAAGAGATCAATATTGTTTCATGCCTGCTAACACAACATTCATTCTACAGCCTATAAATCTAGGAGTAATTTCCACTTTCAAGTCTTATACATTTCATACGTCTGTAACTGCCATAGATGGTGATTCCTCTGAGAGATCTGGGCAAAGTAAATAGAAAATCTTCTGGAAAGGATTCACCATTCTAGATGCCATTAAGACTATTTGTGATTCATGGGAGGAGGTCAAAATATCAACATTAATAGGAGTTTGGAAGAAGTCGATTCCAGCCCTCATGGATGACTTTGAGCGGTTCAAGACTTCAAGTGGAGGAAGTAACTGCCAATGTTGTGGAAATAGCAAGAGAACTAGAATTAGAAGTGGAGCCTGAAGATGTGGCTGAATTGCTGCACTCTCATGATAAAAATTTAAGGGATGAGGAACTGCTTCTTATGGATGAGCAAAGAAAGTGATTTCTTGAGATGGAATCTACTCCTGATGAAATGCTATGAAGATTGTTGAAATGACAACAAAGGATTTAGAATATTACATAAACTTAATTGATAAATCAGCAGCAGAGTTTGAGAGGATTGACTCCAATTTTGAAAGAAGTGCTACTGTGCATAAAATGCTATCAACCAGCATCACATACTACAGAGAAATCTTTTGTGAAAGGAAGAGTCAATTGATGCAGCAAACTTCAATATTTGTCTTATTTTAAGAAATTGCCACAGCCATCCCAACCATCAGCAGCCATTTACATTAATGCAAGGCCTCCGCCATCAAAAAGATTGCACCTTGCTGAAGGCTCAGATGATGGTTAGCATTTTTTTTAGCAATAAAGTATTTTTAGTTAAGGTATGTACATTATTTTAGACATAATGCTATTGCACACTTAATAGACCACAGTATATAGTAGAAACATAACCTTTATATACTCTGGGAAACAAAAAAAATCATGTGAGCCACTTTATTGCAGTGGTCTGGAAGCAAATTCGCAGTATCTCTGAGGTATGTCTGTTTCTATAACCATGGATCTATAGCCCAGCAGATAGAAGAGCATTCATGATCCTTTAAATAACTAGGTACAGAAGTATCTCTAGTGAAGAAGAACTGCTGGTAGGGGTGCTCATCTGTTGCAGCTTTGTGAAAACTTTAGTAGGCCTAAATCAATCACCAGTGATGTTCTTGGGCATTCTGGATCTGAGAGTGCAGGCGGGCATTGAACTGCTGGGTATAGCCGCCCATTGCCTTCCTGTGAGGTCCAGTATCACATTACAGCCTATGTGAGCCTCAGCAAGTATACATCCCCCATTGGAGCAAATGGGAAGAGATTATTTAAACAACAGCAAGAGGGAAAGAAGATGAGTGTGCCTTACCTCCCATCCATCCCGCTTGTTGAAAGCCAGTTCACTCCCGAGCAACCCCTGTTCAGCTCCACTTAGAATTGCTCTGCAGGATACCAGAACTCAAATCCTGTAATTGGCAGATGGTGTCATTACTTCCTCTCACTTCTAATAACACAGTGTTTTAAGTTTTCGCCGATAAACACAGCATTTATACTAGTTGCTTAGTGAAACGGGCAGCAGGGGGCTTCTAGAGGAATGGTGCCTAGTGCTGCCAGTCAAAGGATGTGCAGCTGTTTCATCTCTTCCTTAATTGAATTGAAAATACAGCCAGCAGAAGCTGTGGGTATACATGGGAGAGTTACAAATTGAGGATGACATCATCTGGGCCACCTGTAAAATTTCATGAATGAGGCAGGGTGATTGCCCAATAAAATCTTGACTGGAATTGCAGTTGGAAAAGAGATTACAGGTTCAGAGTTAAAACTGCAGCAATTCATTTGCAGTAGTCAAAATGCTACATTTAAAAGCCAGATATGTATGTTGCATTTTTGCTGTAGATAGATGTTGCTTGCTCCTTGCAGCCACAGCTGATATGCCTTAACAGCAAACTTTTAATTGTTCTTTGTGGTCTCTGCACATCATACATACCATGCCTGTATAAAGCCTGTTGTTGGGAAGCTTCTATAGCTAAGTGTTCAGTTGGATTGGAGACCCTTCCCTTCCTGTTTCAGGGTTATGCGGGAGGGGCTCCTGCCCATTCACTCTGTTCCATTTTGACTGCCATCAAGAAGTACTGCTCAAACTTGAGTAATTTTCAGCATTCTTCAGATCTCTCTCTCTGATCTTCTCCACCTTTTTCTTATTTGTACACTTTCCTTGCAAACCACCCTTTCATAAAAAATAGATATCTTCCCCACCTTCTCTATATTCCTTGGTGTGTCCCATATCAACTTTGTCTGTATCTTTCCTTGCCTTCCCCATCTGCCATGATGGCTTTGACAACCCCATTTAGGAAATGTGTCAGCTGCAATAGCAGGCTCCCCCTATTGACTGGTACTTTTTCTGCCTGGGTGAGGAATACATTATTGAGGCCTGCCCACATTGCCAGGGGGCAAACTTGCAAACATCAGGTGGATTGACTGAAGGCTGAAGAGGACCCTGCAGGCTGCTGATTCCACCAGTAGCAAGGGAGCAGGCTGTCCAGTCACCGGGGCCTTCACCAGCACCAACTAGGTTACCATTGGCTACAATGGAATGCTAAACCAAGCCTGCCTTTCCTGGATTGGGCCACTTGTCTGACAACCATGTGACCAGGGAAATGGCCAAATGTGCCAAAAAATGGCTGCCACCACCAAGGAAAAGTGAAGACACTGTGAGAGCCACCCTCAATGCCAAGGGAGCACTCAATACCATCATCAGGATGTTTGAGGTCTTCACTACCTAGGCCATACCATGCTGGCCCCTGAGGGAGAAAAGAGAGATACCCCTCCAGGTTTCTACTCCATCCATTATCCCAGGTGTTGCTGTCTGCCTCGATGCTGAGGCACCCCAACTGTGCTTTGTTGAGAGTGAGAGCACCACTCTTCACAGGCGACTTGACATCAACGCAGTCAACATATGTCTCATCAGCACTGACAACTGCTCTCAAAGGTGGAGGGTCACCGGGACAGATCCTGTTCTCTCCTCATCGACTGCGACCAAGCCTCTGACTGGTTGTCATCTTCACAATGGGACACAAGAGAGTTCTTGATCATCCCGAGTAGCTGATTAGGCCCCTCAGTACCAAGAAGTTGCCAGATCTGGTGTCAGAGCCAGTCGGTACCAAGGCATCGACTCATCACTGAGATTTGCCCAACCATTTCACAGAGAATCTAGTCAATACCAAGGTGCTGATACTGTAGTGTCACCACCAACACATTGCTCCATCCGACATGGGTGCAAGACCATGGTACTGAGCCAGTTAACAATCCTTAGCACCTATGATGTCAACATACTTGAGACCAAAAACATAATCAAAGTTCTCTTACCCAGAGGAGGAATGTCTCCAACTCTGAATGTAGTGTTGCTGGCCCTATCTACCTCCTGGCCAAATGCCACTGTCACCCTGTAGGACCTGACTTCCTCATTGGAGGAGATGGGCCAATACTTGGAACAGATCTTCAGGATGGTGCCCTCCCTTGGGTTTGAGATGGAGCAGCAGCAGTACCAGGACATTTTCTTCAATGTACTCTTAAGGTCTTGGCATCAGTGAAAATTCCCTTTATGTCCATGCTGCTACAGATGGTATGGTAGACGTGTAAAGCTCCCTCCGCAGTGCACTCTTCATCAAAAAATATTGAGAGTATGTACAAGGTGCTGGAGAGGGATGTCCCCTTTTTCTTCCAGCACCCCTGTCATCCTGGAGTCCATGCAGGGCCATTCCCAGAAGAAGTGCTCAGTACCAGATGACTAAGAGGGATTCCACCTGGATAGAAAAGCTCAGTCTGTCTATATGGTTTTCACACTGAGGCTCAAGGTCTCCAACTATGAGGCCACCTTGGCCGAATACCAGTTGTTCCTCTGGGACAAGAATGGGGCCATGTGTGAACACCTGCCTGACCATTATTGAGAACTGGTTTGGGTGTTCCAAATGGATACCTCCAAGCTTATCCATCAGCAGATCTTGCAGTAGAGGAACACAAGAGCTGTGACTCAACCCCATGGCAGGTGCTGTGGCCATTGGCAGACACGCCTGGCTGCATTCTGCAGGACTGCCTCAAAAGACCCATTCTGTCATTGAGGACCTCCCTTTTACAGGGAGAGCCTTTTCAGTGCACAAATGGACAATAGGATGAACTCTTTCCAGAAGACTGAATTGAGTTCAACAGCTTGTTGCCACTTGGTACCATAAGCTCCACAGCCCCATCTCTGACACTGATGTTGGAAATTGATTCACTACTCTCCAAAAGGATGAGAGTCTATCATTCTGGCCTTGCTTGAGGCTTCAACTCTTGATATTTCACAGTACCAAATCAGAATGGGGGACTCAGGCTGATCCTAGACCTCAGAGACATCAACCATTTTATCACACTGAGGAAGTTCACTACGGTCATCCTCTAGAATGTCCTACCCTTGCCTCTTGGTGATTGAGACAGCTATGGTTTGCCCAACTCTTCTGACTGCCACAGTACCTTCTTCCAACTCCTACAGACCCCAGCCCTCATTTTGCAGGACCAGGATTGAGTTCAGCCCAACATTGAGACCCTGTGACTCACAGTGTGGCACATCATGCCATAGACTCCATGGCAGAGACTCTACCTCTGGAAGCCAGATCTATCCTTGATGCAACCCTCAAGCCATACATGAGGAGGTTCTACCTGACAAAATAGAATGCTTTCACTGCCTTCATGTCTCAGGAGAACTTTGACCCAAAAGACAGCATTGTTGAGCATATCCTCCACTTCCTACAGATGCTCTTCCAGAAAGGGCTGAAACCTTCCCCAGTGTGGGTGTACTGGGCAGCAGTCTCCTCTTTTTGTCCACCAACAGAAATAGTCCTCTCACACCCCCTATCCTACCAGTTCCTGAGGGACCTCCAAAACTTGGCCCCCACTGTCTGGCCCTGCACACCACCATGGAAAATTTTGGTCATGCTGAGGGCACTGAACAAGAGGCCTTTTGAACCATTGACCATGACCAACCTCCATCTCCTCTCCTAGAAGGTTGCCTGCCTAGTGGCCATCGCATCAGCCAAATATGCCAGTGGACTGTGTACCCTCTGGATAGATGCTCACCTCACCTTCCACAGAGACAAGGCAGTGCTCCGACCAGGCCCAGCCTACCTTCGCAAGTTCACGTTGGTGTTTCACTTCAACCAGCACATTGTCCTCCCACTGTCCTCCTTCACCACTTCTGCCAGTTCAGTAGAGTTTACCCTACACTTGCTAGGTGTTAGGAGGGCCTTTGCCTTCCTCTGCCCCCGGACAGAATCTTTCTGCTGCTCACCAAGACTATTTAATTGCTGTGGCAGACAGAACAAAGGAGACCCATTCTCTGTTCAGAGACTGGGGAACTGGGTCGTGAGCACCATCTCCTTGGCATACAAGTTAGCTGGCCCCCTCAAGGGCTCACTCCACCCAAGCAATGGCCACATGTACAGCCTGCCTTGCAGGAATTCCCTTGCAAGAAGTCTGCAGGGTTGTCACATAGTCAAGGCCCTCAACGTTCATTGAGCACTGCAGGCTAGACATTTATGCAAGGGCTGACAGCTCCTTCAGCAGAGCAGTCCTCTCCTCCATCTGCCAGTGACAACACCATTCTTCCATCCTTCTTGAGGTAAGCTTGCTGGCCACCCATACTGTGAGATGCACAGAGACCAAGAAGAGGAGGTCATGTTGCTTACCTGTATCTTTTGTTCTTCAAGTGGTCATCTGTACATTCACACAACCCATCCATTACCCCACTTGGCATCATCATCCCCATCCCCTTGCTTTCCAAGGGCACACAGGAGCCAGACTGGGCTGGTCCAACACTCTTCCCTCGCTCCTGGGGCCTCTCAGCTGTATCAGCTGAGGGAATGGGAGGGAGCCCCTCCCATGTAACCCTAGAACAGGAAGGGGAGTTCCCACCCAGTTGAACACTTAGCTATAGAAACTTCCCAACAACAGGCTCTGTACAGGTGCATATGACCCCATATGTTTGAATATATAGTGACCATTTGAAAAACGATGGTTATGGGTAAGCAATTATTTAGGTTAAGCTCCAAATAACTGAAAAGGAAAAAATGCTTATAAGCAGTTGGGTGGCTTTCCTAATGGGTATGTCATGTTTCATTATTAATTAGAATTCCTACTCAAAAGTTCCATTAGAGTGGGGGTAAATGCAGGGTTTCTGTTACACTGAGCATCTGAAGCTTTTGTTTGTGCTGATATTTCCTAATCATAGTGATGATACATTATGGAGTAGGTTTCCTATATATAGATACAGGTTCAAATATGGCTACTTACATAGAGCAAAGAACCTTTTATTATTAGTTTTAATCTGGAAATGCTGATGAGTTTTAAGAGAACCTTTAAACTGAGTGATATTACATTTGTTATGATTTTATTGTTTTGATTGATGTTGTGATGTTTTATTGTTTTACATGTTTGGAAGCTATCTTAGGTGTTTTCTAAAAGACAGGGTATAAATAAATGTGAGGTTAAAGTATAGGATTGATGTCATTTTATATGTAACTTTATTTTTGTTAAAGACTACAGATGCTGTTCACCTTGCACTGAAACTAAACAACTCTGAGCTGAAAGGAAGAAAGCTAAGAGTGCAACGCTGTGTTGAAAGAGAAAAAGCACAAAAGAAAAGTTTAGACAAGAATGTAAAGAGCCCTGCAGGACCAAAATCTACAAAGCCTTCTTCACTGAAAAATGCTAAAGTATACTCCAGTAATTCTTTTGCTGGTGAAAAAGCAATCCCAGTCAAAAAAAGCAAAAAAGCAAGATCAAAAAAGAGCATGAGGAAAACACTGCGAAAAACCAAATGAAATGTTACTCTGAAAATTTTTATTTTTTAAATAAAAATATAGCATAGGCAGCCTGTTGGAATTTTTAAATATTTTAAAGGTTTACTTGGACTAATTAATATTAAACATGGAAGGTAAATGGAAGATCTGAAACCTGCAGCAGCCAACATGTGACATTGCCATGAGAAGGTGAGAAAACTCAGCTTACCATCCTGCCAGCCTTTTGCCCTGGCAGCAGACACTGTTCTGTGCTGAATTTGAGCTTCTTTCTTGAGCGAAGCCCCCTCTTGTATGCTTATAAATTACCATTTGGGATCAGTAATAGTCTGTTGAACTGAAAACAAAAGTAGTTATTGAATTAAAATTACTATCCCTCCAAATGGTGTCAAGCTATGTATTACATAACCCTCTGCAACTCATTTCTCAGCTGGGATATATCTGCCGCTATCGAGTTTCTTGAAAAAGCTACATCAATACTGAATTTATTTAGCTTTAGAATTATCTCCACTGAAACAAAGAGTAGTTACCCCTTGAGCTTGCATTTCTTCTGCTATTCTGGTGGTGCTCCTTCCCATTACCCAAGACAAGATGTGTATTTGGGTGTTTTGTGGTTTTGGTTTGTTTCTTTGTGGATTAAAAGAGTACAAAATTATGCCACTGCCATTAATCTTAAAGATATGGAGTAGGCAAAAGTATTTTAGTCCAGAGACTGCATGGCATTTTAGAGCTCCTTTTAAGTTCTCCCAAAAAGAACTTTTCTTGACATGCACATGGTAGGCATGCCATGAGCAAAACTGGCTGGAGTCAGGGATCAGACTAGATGACCTGGGAGGCCCTTTCTGCCTGATTTTGTTACTATGCTTCTATAATCCAAGCTCCAAGTACTTGTTGTTCTACCCATACGTGAAGTGTGTTGGAACACTAAGCCTTTCGCTTTTTTTTTTTTTTTTACTAACCCATCATATTGGGGGCAAGTCACTTGTCAGTTGTTTTTTATGCCATTAATCTTAGGCAGTAGCCGTTATGAACAGTCAAGTCGTCTCTGATTTATGATGACCGTATGACTCGAAAGACCTCCAAAACACCCTGTCCACAACAACCCCACTCAGTTGTAAATTCAAAGCTGTGGCTTCTTTTATGGAGTCAATCCATCTCATAGCTGGTCTTCTTTTCCTTCTGTCTTCCGCTTTCCCTAGCGCGATTGTCTTTTCCTGTGAGCCATACCTTCTCATTATGTGCGTTAGGCTGCAGACTCCATTTTAAACATGCACCACTTGTTCATTAAGCCTTAGCTTTAACTTCTATAACAGGTGGTAAGTGTGGTGAGGATCAAAAGTCCCTTCCTTTCACCACTGCACTGGGACATCTGAGTAAACGTGCGTCCACTCGGTTCAAGAAAGACACCCAAAGCTACGTGACGCTTCCCACGCAGCAGGATTTCCCTGCGAGAAAGGAGCACGTGCAATCTCACGTGCACAGCAGAGAAGGAAAGGGAAGCTACACGCATGCGTAATACCAAGTTAAAAACTGGCTCCTCCGGAGCTTGCCGCGGGTTTAACGGGCGGTCTTCTGTCGCTGGGTGATGACGTACGGCGTTGTCCCAGCGTGTGCGCGGCGGCGGCGGGCGGGGCCTCTTTCTCTCCGGCTGTGCCCGCTCCAAGGTGCTTGCGAAGTACGAGCGGGGCTGGCAGGCGGGATGATGGGGGGCAAGAGCAGCGCCATCGCCGCGGGCGTTTGCGGCGCCCTCTTCATCGGCTACTGTATCTACTTTGACCGTAAGAGGAGGAGCGACCCCAATTTCAAGACCCGGCTGCGGGAACGTGAGTCTTTCCGCCGCCGCCCCCCTCGTGCGCCCATAGCCACGGATCGGACTTCCCCTTCGCTTCCCCTCCCCGTCGGATCGTTCTGCCTGCGCCGTCCGCCCGCCTGCCCTCGCTCCTCGTCCCGTTCCTCTTCCTCCATGGCTGGGTGGGTGAGGGTCGCACTGCAGCAAAGCCCGTTTCCCTTCCTTCCGTGTCCTTCTCAAAGCTCTGGTGCTTGCCCCAACATGAGACTTCCCTGACCAAGGAAGGCGCGGGGCTGCGGTGGGAGGTGAGTGAGTATACATGGGCCTGCCCGAGATGTCCTTGTTCTTTTCGGGAGGGTAACTGTGGCAGCCCTGAAAAGAAGTAAGCCAGGCCTCAAGCAGCACGTGCCCGTGCAGCAGCCTTCGGTGGCTGTTGATGGGTCTGCTTAAGAGAGATGGCCTATCTCTGCCTCTACGGACGTCACCAAAGCCTCATTCACTGTTTCCTTGGTTCGAAATGTGTGTGAATAAGGACCACTTTGCTCATTGTTGCTAAAGTGTGTGCAAGTGCACCTACAGATACGGCTCTTCTGGATGAAGACAAAAGTCATGCATGAATGCAATGTTTGCTCACTATTGTATGATTTGTATTTCTCCAGCAAATGCAGATTGTCTGTCTCCCTACTGGGAGTGCATGCCACTGCAAAATATGTGATGCAACCTGAGTTTGCTTAAGCTTCCTGCATATTTGAGGCTTTTCATTTAGAAAATGTATGGAAACACACATGAACAAAATCCTATGCATTTCAGTTCTCTATAACTACTTATCTGTAAAAAAAATTTTCTCCAGAGGTTTCTTGGGAGAGAGACTAGATTTATTTATTTATTTATTTATTTAAGTTCTATACTGCCCCATAGCTCACCAGCCGTCTAGGTGATTTATAATTATGAAAGTTATATATGCAACCAATAGATATTCATATTAAATAACTATAAAACAGCATAACAGCAATTATACTGAGTTAATCCTCAAGCACAGCTGCAGCACAGCAACAGGTAATAAAACAATATTTAAAACATTAGTATGGAGCTAACTGTTAAAATAACAGGAAAATAAGGTTTTCACCTGGCACAAAAGTTGGTAAGGGTGGGGCCAAGCATACCTCTCTGGGGGAGCAAGTTCTGCTGACGGAGTTTCCAGAATGTTTTCAAAGGCAGCTCCACATAGAACACATTGCAATGGTCCAGACTCCAGTGACAATTCTGGGTCCAGGAATATCCACAAACTATGAACTTTGTCCCTTAGACAGACTACAACTCTGTCCAGAATAAGTTGAAAATCTTCCACCAACAGCACCTTGGTCTTGTCTGGATTGAGTCTCAGCTTATTGGCTGAAATCCAGTCCATTACTGAGTTCAAGCACTGATTTAGAATGGCCTGGATTTGATGAAAAAAAAGGTAGAGCTGAAGGTCAGGTGCGTACAGATGACACCTTAGCCTATACTTCTGGATAACCTCTCCCAGTGGTTTAATGTAAACGTTAAAAAGCATGGGGGATAAAATGGAACCCTATGGCACCCCATGACATAACAACCATGACTCAGAACCACCTTTTGGAATTGGTCTACCAGGTAGGAATGGAACTACTGCAAAGTACTACCATCTACTCGCAACCCTGCCAGCCTATCCAGGAGGCCACTATGGTCAGTGGTCAGTAGCTGCTCGGAGGTCCAGGAGAATCAGCAGAATCTCACTTCCCTGGCACTCTCCTGACAAAGGTCATCCCAGAGGATGACCAAGGCAGTTTCCATTCCAAAACCAGGCCTGAAACCCTGTTAAAAGGGATCTCGATAATCTGTTTCATCCATGCTTGAAGCTCTCTAGCTACCACCCACTGAAACACCTTAGCCAGGAAGGAGATGTAAGCAATGGGTCTGTAATTATTCACATCCACTGCGTTCAAGGTTGACTTGTTTAGTAGTGGATTGATCACCACCTCCTTTAAAGAGGCTGGTACCACTCCCTCTCTCAAAGAGGCATTTACAGCTGCCTTTACTCAGGTACAAATTCCTTCTTTAGCTTTTCCAATTAACCATGATGGGCAGAAGTTGACCATAGATGTGGTAGTCTGAAGCTGGCCAAGCACCTTTTCCAACTACGTGTTTACATGTATTGTTTATGCTCATGGAATCAAAATCTGTGTTGGCCTTTGAAGAAACCTAATTTTATGAAGGGTAAACCCAGGTGATTGGATGCCAACAGAAGTGAAGCAAAGCAGTGCCCTTACAAAGGTATTGGTATACTTGAAGAAATTCCAAGATATGCATAAATAAATACTTTTTTAAAAGATCAAAATGAACCTACAGAAACATGAGCATAGTGGCCTCCAGGAGCCACAGAATGTTGGATGTCAGCTGGAAAAGAAAGTGAGGGGTGAGTCAGAGAGGGCTTTGGTGTACTTGATTACAGCATCCTGGAGGGAGAGCATGACTGGTTAGGTAGGTCCTACAATAAGAGCACTCTTGTTAGGGAAAAGGATACACTACGACATCTGGTTTCAGGCCTCACTTGTAGGGTAATATAATCAAAGGCTTTTTATGTGTTGGGATAGACCTGCATTTTCAATTCTTTTGGTAAAGCTGAGTAGTTGATTAGAATGCTACAGGGGGAGGAAATTTAAAAAAATTGATCAAAGTGTCTCCTTAGCTCAGTGGCTCAGAACTTCCTTTCCGAGTGAGGACCACATGCTATTTTGGAGAAGGTCTTCAGAGCTACATTTCAGTGGTGGACAAGACTGAAGACAAAAGGGCCACAAATATGAGCGCAGTCTAGCTTGAAGTGGGCTTTGCCAGTAACTAAGCCCTAGAAGAGGGTTTTCCACTCCGCAGAATGTGGAGCAGACGTCATAAAAGCTGGGAAACCACCCAACACTCCATAATTGGGAGAAAGGGGACATGGCCTTCTGTACCTCTGCCTTACATGTGTATTAGACTGTCCAATCATGCATTCTCAAACCCTCCTGGTACTGTTAATATTGTAACTTCCAGGATAAGGATGAATGCAAAAGAAAAATGTAGAGTTATCCAAAATGCTGAACATGCTAACATTGTTCTGCATTATTTCACCTCTTCAACAAGGACTCATGTCCTTTATTCTGAGTTTCCTTTCTTAAACAAGCAATGTTGATACAAATTTGTTATTATACAAATGTGCAAAAGTACTCTCAGTTTTCAACCAATTACTTTCTGTGGGTTTCAGAAATATATCAGTGTGTGTGATCCTTAGACATGGTTTGCAGCAGGTTGCAATAATATAAAGCCTTGGTAGTTGGGGCAGTCAAGAAATACTGGTGCATGTTACATTAAAAGTTTCCTCCCAGTTATTATTAATTTCTATACTGTTACCACGCTAATGCCATTCTTATAGAGCCTGAGGCAAAATAGACCCCTACTCCAGCACCACCGAAGGGCGCTTCAAGATAGCATGGCACTTGACCATCCTCGGGGCATGGAACTCATCACATTGGCAGATGAAATGTGACCCCTGCAGGCAGAGCATAATTTTAAAAGCCTTCCTTGGCCTTCTGCTGTTGTCCTTATAGGGCCTTCAGTGAACTTGTGGGAAATAGCACCATTCTAGCATCATCTTTCACGCAGCACCAGATGTACAGTACGTATGCTCTTAATTGCTCTGTGTGCAAAAAGGCAGGCGTCTGTAGGTTTTTCCTTTGTCTAAACGTAAAATAAATTCAGGTGGACATGTAGTTCGGTTTGATTTCTATAGTACATTTCACAATGTGTACAAATGCTGTCTGGGTTCTCCAAAATTAATTTTGAATGCAAATGATTTTAAGATTTGAAAAAACAATATCACCATATCAAATGTAAGTCTATAGATTTTTATAGAATTCATGCATTTAAGTGTGTGATGTGTTTAACCTGTAGGAAGGAAGAAACAGAAGCTTGCCAAAGAGAGAGCAGGACTTTCAAAGGTATTACCCTTACTGTCTAGCTTGATTTGTATCATGCTGTTGTATTATGTTATGCTTTTCAAATAGAGTTTGGACTAGAATTTATTAAGGTACCAACTCTTCCAGTGTACATCAATTGACTTTGATCCAAAAAAGCAGCAGTAGAAAATGACTTCCCCACCTGTGGAAGATTAGTACACCTGATTTTGCACGTTCCTCCCTTTTCCCTTCCCTTTAACTCACCCCGTTCAGGAAGGCCCTTCAGTATCCAAGAGAGGCTTGGCAAGGGCTAGGCAGGAAAGTCACTTTCATCAGTCCCCTTCCATTGGCAATTTCTGGATCCAAGCTTGCATTAATTGTTTCCATGGTACATTCTGGATATATTTAAAATTGCAGTTCCTTTCTGTAGAATATGTGAGTGGTCATAAACTAATGAAAAGGCGATCCAGGGCAAGTTGGATGTTTTGCCTATATAATATTTCCAGTAGATGTCTGTTGTCTTAGCTCTTAAAGACCCTGAAGCATGTGAATATTCCACAGGGCTGTGTTTTAAAGTAGTGGTGGAAACGTGTTGCTATGATGTCTAAATGTTTGATTGGATAAATGTCATTGTTACAGTTGCCTGATCTGAAAGATGCTGAAGCAGTTCAGAAGTTCTTCCTTGAAGAGATTCAGCTGGGCGAGGAACTACTAGCGCAAGGTTGTTCCAGAGTTTGTTACTGGACAGGGTGGGGAGGAGAAATAGACATCATACTAGAAAGAATACCTCACCTAGGAATCGGAAGAATCTGCACCTCCATTATAGCTCAAATCTATATCTGTCTACTTGGAAGAGTTTAGTAGGTTTACTCCCATGTGACTGTATAGGATTGCAATGTTAGTCAATTTCCAGCAGTAAGCATGTTTCTGGAAAGCTTGCCTTCTCCTGTATGAGCCTGCCCTGGTCTCAAGATCCCTGGGAGAGGCTTTTGGAGACTGCTTTCAGAGGCGTGTTTGGTGGTAATGCCAACAAGGGCTTTGTTGGTAGTAAATCCTAGGTAGTGGAACTATTTTCCAAAGGATCCTAGTTTTGCTTTCTCTCTGCTGTCCTACTATCAACAGGCAGTTGCCTTTTTATTCAAGCAGGCCTTTTGTATTGTCTGTTGGGTTGGTTTTTTTTTTTCTGTAATTGCTGTGTTTTTAATTGTGTTTTAATGGATTTGTTTTAGTGTTTTAAATTGTATTTATAACTGTAAGCTTCCTTGAATGACATTTTTCTTGGCAGAAAAGTGGAGTACAAATAAAATAGTGCATCCTATGCATGTAAAAGTAAGTTCAGTTGAATTCTGTAGCATTTACTTCCATGTAAATGCATATAGGCTATCCATTTTGTCTGAAAGTTGTTATTCTTGTAACAATCTAAACTTAGTTTATATTAAGCTGTTACACTTAAAAAACAAACTTGAGAATAATCTCCTTTAAAAACCTCTTTTACATGAAGGTCATAGACTGTGTATACCAGCGGTCCTCAAACTTTTTAAACGGGACCAGTTCACAGTCCCTCAGACTGTTGGGGGGCCGGAGTATTGTTTGAAAAATTATAATTAAAATAAAAGTTAAAATTAAAAAATAATTAAAAATAATGTTTGCGCTGCTCGCTTGGGCTGCAGCAGAAGCCCAAGATGACACCGCACGACCCACCAAAGGGAGAGCATGACATGAGGAGGAGCCATGCAGGCACGCTTGCCTCCGTCGAGGCCTTCCCAGCTCCTCGCCGCCGCCCTGCTTCCGAGCTGGAGGAAGGTCCCCTTTGCAGGTGCTCGCCTGGCTCCAGGAGTGGGAGCGGGAGGCTGGATAGGCGAGTGCCGGGTGGCTTCCTTGGCCGGGAGGTGGCCGCGAGGCAAGGGCTTCTTTCTGAAGTGAGGGATGGGGCCATGGCTGGCCAAGCAGGGCACCTCCTGCCTCTCCCTGCCATGGGGGGAAGAAGTATGGCGGCTGCTCAATTGGGGCAGTGGCTTGCCCATAGAAGGCTACGGCTCCCACACTGCCACCGCTGCCATCGAGCAGCTGCCCCCAAGCTCAGTGAGGTGGCCACGGCTCACATAATTAAAAATAGATTTAGAAAGTTACATTTTTCTTCAGTCCATTTTTTAGCATGTTCGCCTCTCTCCCTCTCCCTCCCTCCCTCCTGCCCTGCTCTTTTCTGTTTCCCACTCTGTATTCCCACTCTGTATATGCATGCAATGGGGGGCAGGGGAAGAGCCAGCGCAGTTGAGCTGTTGCAGTTTGGTTCATGCCCCAGCTCTCTGCTCAGTTTCAAAGAACACCTGCGCTGGCTCAGAGCTTTTGGACTCGCTCGGAGAGCATTTTCTCCAAGTGAGTCCAAAAACTCTGAGGCAGGCTGGATAAATCAGCATGGTGGGCCATAGTTGGAGGACCCATGGTGTATACTATTCAGAATATAAGGATAAATATATTTCAAATCAATGCTTTTAAGAATCAGAAATCCTAATATTACTGAATGACATCCTAAAAACAGTAATATTATCACAGCCATCCTAACTTAGGAATATGATAGTAGAGGTACTATAGTATGAATTTTTTATTTTTTATTTTATTTATTAAAACATTTTTATGCTGCCCCATTCGCCGAATTCCCTGTAACTTACTAAAATGGACCAGGAAATGTTCTGATAGTACTATCTATTCAGTACTGAAGGAACTGATTTTTGATTTTAAGTTGTCTTCTTGTCTTTAAGTCTTAAATAGGTCACTTTCTCCATACATAATTTATGCCATTCTCTAAACAGTTTCCTTTCTATTTTTTCCTCATTTACTTCTGATTTCTACTAACATTAAAAGGGATCGGATTGATTGTTAAATACTAAGCCGTCCAAACAGTCCAGAATATACTGTCAAGGCAAATGGTCTAGGAATGGTTTCTAAGCAGATTTTCCCTCCCTCCCTCCCTTTCTTTCTTATTGAATTTCTATCCCACCTCCTTAGCCAGAATGTCTGTTTATGAACTACATCAAAAATATTAATATTTAATTATTTAATGACTGTACTGCTCTGTAGCTGCTCTGGGTGGTGAATCGCAGTATACACAACAAAATACAATATGGAATAACACATCAAAAACATAATAAAATTACGTTAAAAATTTAAAACCACATTTTCACAACTAAGCCACTAAAACCTCTCCATACTACTAGGCCCTTTGAGGAACAGTGAGCAGTAACCCCTCCATTCCTCCTCATGTGCTATTTGGAATAGGCAAATGCTTCAGCAAAGAAGGCTGCCTTAACTTGGTGCCCAAAAAATAAAAAGTAAAGGAAGTACAAATAGTACGGTTGGTACCAAGTGGCTCTTGGTGGTGGGATTGTTGTGCAGTTTGGGGGAATGCTGCAGAGTCACCTGCTGAGCCTCCCTTGGAGGTGGCCTTCAGAAAGCCTCATATGTTGAGTGTATCATTTGGGTAGTTGGTGGGAGGAAGAGGTGTCCTGCCCGGTATTGTGGTCCCAAGCTGTGAAGAGCTTCATAGACAGACCTGCAACTTGAATTGGGCTGGGAAGCCTATAGGCAGCCGATACAAGTGGGCCAGAATGGGAGCTGTATGTTTGGACTGTCTGGTTCCAGTTCTTAGTCTGGTTGCTGCATTTTGCATAAGGTGTCGTTTCTGAACTGTCTTCAAGGGCAGTCCCACATACAGCGTATTACAACAATCTGTTTTACAGATTCCCAGAGTGTAGATTCAATTTTGGTTTCTTGATTAAGGTTGCTATATTGGTATTTGGATTTCCGTACCCTTTGAAAACCGAAAAACAGATCTTACTAAATGAATAGGGGCAACTATTTAAACCTACAAGTTCCAGGCTAGTGACTTGTTCTTTGGATAGGGCTTTTTCTGTGACCAGTTTATGAAGGAGGAAGCTGCCCTTAAGGACATCTCCCTCATTTGTTGAAATCTGTTTTCACTTGAGTTAGAAGATAGTCATTAAACCATTGGTGCTTCTAATTAACCTTCAACAGTGAAGATCTTGAGATGCAGTTTAAAGCTAATATAACACACTTCTTTTTTATATAGGAGAATATGAGAAGGGTGTTGATCACTTGACAAATGCCATTGCTGTTTGTGGACAGCCACAACAATTGCTTCAAGTTCTACAGCAGACACTTCCACCACCAGTTTTCCAGATGCTTCTTACTAAACTTCCAACAATTAGCCAGGTATGAAAAGCTAACTTTTCCATTATTTTTTTGGTTCTTTGAAATAATGCATGCAATCCCTGTGTTAACAGACTGATATCATGCATATTTACTAAGTGTTAATTATTTTAATGGAGTTACTCCTAAGTAAGTGTGCAGAGGATTTTGGCCTCTCACTTTAGTGGATGGTACTGCTGCAGATACTACGACAAAAGTTGAATCCAGCACACTGAGAAACGTTTGTGGCTTTATGATTCGGTACATTCTGTAGTCAGGATCAGGCACATAGTAGCTTTGTTATTGTACAGTTTTGACATTTCTCAAGCAGTTCAAGGTGAGACGTTTCTGGCAGCTGTGCCAGCTGTGTTGCTGCTTGTCGTCCTTGTGAACAAGGTCTGCTTGTCAGTAGGAGCATCTGTAGCAATCAAACACTTGGCTCAGTGTTGCATCACTGTTAGGCAGTTAATGGAGACCTGTAAAATGCATGGCCCACAAGGAGGAGTGATGCAGTCCTTAGTACAAGTTGTTGCTTAGACAAGGGGGTCATGAACTAGGTTCTGCAGAGCCATTTGTAAATCTGGGCATATGAAGTAGCAATGAAGTATTTCCCATGTTCAATGAAAGGATAGGGGTACAAACATTCCTATTTTACTTGACAGATTAGTAATGTTTCTTTTCCCATTGAGGCCATCAAGGTGAATTGAAAGTTTGTTTGAATAAGGTTCCGCCTTAGCAAGGGTGGATTTCCAAAAGTACAAGGACAAAATAATATGTTCTTGCATCCTACAAGAACATGTATCTATTCTGGTTCAGTTTGTTTTGGATTCCACAGTGGCACAAAGGGTAACCCCTTCCCCAGAGTATTTGTCCCCTGGACAAAATCCAGGAGTGAGCAGATAGTAATGTCTCTGCCAGGGCTTTTTCCCTGCCAAATGGTTCTTGCCAGAAACAGTTACTTCCTCTAGGACATCAGAGTAATATTGGTGTTTCTTGATAGAACAGAAAATTTTTTTTGACTAAACATGCGTTTGTGCCAAGCATTTTCAAGTTTTGCTGCCTAGTGGGGAGCTTGTTCTTTTGTGAAGTTCCTTGTCAACATTGAAATGTAAATTATGCCAATTTGTAATTATTACTTTCTTGACATAGTAAAAAACTGACAAAGCTATTTCACATGTGGAAGGATGCTTTTATACTACACTGTCCTACAAAACATTCTTGAGTTTACAAGTCAAGAGGTTACACTCTCGGCACTTGGACCTTTTACATTTTTTGTTATTTATTTATTGGATTTATAATCCACACCCAATAGTCTCACACAGGACTCCCCGTGAGTATTCAGGTATTATGAATGCTATTATCTGTGGAGACACAGTTTAAAAGTTGGAGCCACTGTTTAAGTTTTCAACCATGTATATCATAGTAAAGGCAAAAACCTTTTTAAAAAATTATGTCAAATCAGGCTTTTCAAAATCTTGTGTTCAGAAATGGGGAAGCTGCCTCTAATTGTGTCTGTGCAGCAAACCACTGGCATTCAGCAAAGGGCAATTCTAGTGCCTTCATTTCCGGCCTAACATGAGAGACCTCCATAATTAAGACGTGTAGGTATTTTTAATTCAGTTAATTTTAAACCATCTAATCACAATAGAGTAAAATATTAACAGTGACAATATATGTACAGGTGGTTACTGGATCCCAAGTAAATGTTTAGCTGAAGTTGGGCTGACCAAACACTGCACAACTTCGTTATTAGAAAAACTATTAGCTTCTTAGATAACTCCTCACTCTACTTGGCAGCTGTTTACTGACCAGTGTTTTCCATAAAAATAGGTAAAAGCAAAATTTAATTTTGCAAGTTACCCCTCATTTCAGTAATTCTTCTGGCAAGAGAAGTGCACTATTTATCAGGTGTTTCACTTTTTTCCCCCCCACAGAGAATTGTAAGCGCACAGTGCTTGGCTGAAGACGACGTGGAATGAGACATCTCAGCAGGAAGAGCAAGCGCTTCCTTAGCCCAGAAGATGAGCACCGTGGGGAGGGGTGGGGAGAACAGGGTAAAGGAGCAAGCACGGTAGTCATGAGGAACTGCATACCGTCACCTGCCAGAGTTCATTTTAACTTTGAGTAGGTCGGTTTGGCTGGACTTTATTTATTATCTAGTGCAAAGTGTATTTTGATAAATTCATTTTATAAATACACCGTGTTGAGTTAAAAAGTATCATTCATGCCATTTATTACCAAACAGTTGTAACATTGTACATGCAAAAGATGTAAAGGTACAGCATAAAATACCCCGTGCTCATTTTCGAAAATCATGAAGCTAAGGCATTAAAGACTTGTCTGTGCTCCCACGTGCCTGCGTGCTCATTCAAACAGCAATGAACTATAATGGGACTATTGGCACAGCCGTGGAAGTTTCGCATGATGACTCTTTTAAAAGGAGTTTACTCATGTGGGAAACCTGAGTAGAAGTTATTAATCGAAGCACAATTCTCTATATTCTACACAGCTCTAAATAACTCTTTGGCTTACAGTGAGTTAAAAAAACAAAGTAAGCCAATCATATTAAAAAGGGGAGTTAACTGAAGCCACTCTGGGAGACTACTTTTATTTTTTTTTAATTCAACGAGACCACCCTACTAAATGCATTTTTATTATAATTGTAACCATTTTCTGTGTTACCAATATCACTGTTTCTTCTTTCTTTACATCAGCTCCATTCTTTCTGCACAAGCCTGCATCCAAATCTCTTTATCCCCTTCTTTTTTGTCATATCTTATAGGTCACTCTATTTTCTCATTGCTGCAAGAGTGTCTGCAGACTACTACATTCTTTTCTGTCTGCATTGCATCTCACTCACCCTTCTCTCTGTGTACTGCCCTTCCTGCTTTTCTGTCTCCTTTCACCAGTCCATAGGTCTCTTTGTCCATCTCTGCTTCCTCCTTTATTATTTTGGTTTTCATTTAACCACCTCTCTCCACCATGAAACGATCATGTCTTTTATACACAAACCTCATACAAGAAACAGAACTATAGGCAATGGATACTTGGCATCTATTAGTTTTCCTACAACTCATTGAACTAAAGAAAAGGAATAAAAACTCAGGAAGGAACATGAAAAATTTTGTGAGCCCCAACAAAATCTGAAAATAAGGCATCTCTTGCAGGTAATATCAGCTAATAACCTGATAATATTTTGTTTATAAAATACAACTGCAATCACCCATTTTAAGGCTTAAAGCTTTAAAACTGAAACTATTGTCACCTGCTGGCAATTCATGCATCTTGGTATATTGAAGTATCCAAACAGCTACAAGAATTGCACTTGTAGTGGACTTTCACTCGTGTTGAATAGGCATGGCAATCTCATTAGTCTTCTAATCTAATACTCCTCAAATGGGACTTTGGTTGTTCACTGGATCCTTGCAGAATGGTCAGCAAACTACCCACAATGCTTGTGTTTCATGGCAGCTAAGTTTGTGTCTTAAATGGGAACAAGAAGATGAGAATTCAAGATTCTATTGGAGACTCGCCTTGGTAAAAGAAATTAAACTGACTGCTAATCTATTTTTGCCTTTTCGTAATCTATTTTCTACAGTGACATGTTTGGGCATAAGTTTTTACAGTTGCGGGAATACACTTCTATAGGTAATTCAATCAACAGATCCAGTCAACAACCATCACAGTAAGACATCTCCATCAGCATCAGTTAACATACAGAAGGGAAGTTCAAAAACATAAAATATGTAGGTAAAAATGTCAATCACGCTGAATTATTTTAGACAATGAGAGAGTAAGAGCAAATATTGATCAGAGTTGTCAGACTGACTGCCCATTACAAGTAACTGTGAGCCAGTTTCTCCAAATCAGATTTGAAGAAACTGGGTTACAATTATTGGTAAGTTCAGTATTGCAGAAAGGGACTGTTTAAGGGACAAAAACAGGGTTGGAGCTGTAGCAAGGGAAGGGGTGGGGGGGGGTCACTTGGTGTCCTTAGTTCTTTGACGTGTAGGTTCCACCTGCAATGTTAGTGGAAAGTAACACCTGCAAATTAAATGAAGGTACCCAACTGGGAATCTTCATTGTGCTGCTATAATTTTGACTGCTAAGAGAGAGCACCTTGCATAGGTAAGCAAGGAGCATTGCTTGCCAGAGCACAAGGCCATGACTCTGTGCCCTTAAGCACCTTTGAAAAAATGGATATTCAAAGTGCTCAAAACACGAATGACGATAGAGTGCTTAAGTAGGCAACCATGATCAACCATCCCTTACTGAACACCTAGCAGTTTCTGATGCAAAGCATACTGGGTAAGTGTGCAATCTGCAGTGAGGGGGAGCAGTGCAAGAGGGGGATTAGGTGAAACCATGCAAAACAGAACAACAGGATAGTCAACTTGTGCCCTTCCAAATGCTTTAGCCCACTACTTCCATCCTTTACCATTTATTATGCTGGCCAGGGCTGATGGGAGTTTTATTTAAAAATAGCTGGAGGTGTTGTCTGGTCCTGATTGACATGATGGTACCTCTAGCAGGAAAGTTGTTGTGTACTTAAAACAGATAGTAATGCTACAGATAGAGCAGCGATTGTGCTGCACATGTTGTTCATCTCTTGTGTAGTCTGCAGGAACAGATGCAGAAAGCTTGCCTATACTCCAGTACCCAAATGTGTTGCTGTCAGAACTCAGCTGTTGATGCTATCCAAAAATCCCCAGTGCTGAGGAGCATCAGGAGATAGGCATTAGCTCCCAATTTGCTTTTTAATCACCTCCCTTATCTCCAGGACACAGTTTCCTGCTCTTGTATTGCTCCGTCCCTCTGAGCTACCAGGCCTGCTGGGTACTTGTAGCTCCCATTCTGCCTTGTGCATCTTCTGAAAGATGATTTTTCAACGTTCGGTGTGCAAGGTTTATCAAGGTTTTCTGGGTGGAATCCTTGCTCCTGTAGTAGTTGGAACTGTAACTTTTTTTTCTGAACTTTACCTAGAAACATTTTCCCAAGTTGATGGCCTGTTTAGCTGGCTGACTGGAATTTCAGGATTGCATCTGTTGGGCTCATCCAAACCTTATACATTGATTGTAACATCTGCACAGGGACTTTTGTGTGTACCCCAACATGGACAAACTTTGATCATGGAATCGAAGCATTGGTACACACGTCTCTTCCCAGGTGCTACAGATGTGTGGAAGGCTGGGTGGTGGTCAGCAAGTGTCATCCTCTTTCTTGTTATGTGCCCTGTACTATTCCTCCTTCCTTTTTGCACATCACACTTTTAACTGATTGGAATTGGCCAGTTTTAGTCAATTGGCCAGGCATTTCTCCTCATAGTCCTACACAAAATTACTTGGAATAAGTCCCTGTGAGCATCTGAATAAAAGTAGGGTAAGTGCACTTACAGTTCCTCAAGTATTAAAATTATTAACTCCATGTAAGATATTTTAAAAATTATTTATACTTAACACATCTGTGATTGAATTCTCCCTTTCCAGTTCATGGATTTAGAAGTGTTTATTATAGCCCTGTAGAAAGAATAGAATCCCCCCACCCGGCCCCAGGAAAATGACTTTTTGACCCAAAATATTTTCAGGAACTCCATATATTCATTTAGCATGTTTCAACCTGAGGGTTGAATTCACTTTGCAAAAGTGCTTGGGAGCAGCATTCCAGTGCGGCTGTAGTTGGGCGGGAGACGAGAGGGATGCAGCCCAAGGCAAAAAATAGGACCGAATATACATGAAGCAGCTGGTTGCTTTGGCTTGAAAGCTTGTTCCTGCCCATACCTTAAGCTTCAGGAGAAGCATTCCAACCTTCTAGAATGTGGAAATACCTGCTTAAAAGGCGGAAAGCCACTGAATGATCAGTGACTGGGGGAAACCCAAGTTAAAATTGGTAGTTTTTTCTATCTTCTTTTCGGAAGTGTAGGAGCTTCTGAATTTTGATCACTCCAAGCAGCAAGTCTGAAAGAACGACGTTCGCTTGCTTTCTAAACTGTTACCACTAGATGGCAATGTGGCACTCTTGCAGTTAGAGAAATTAATTTTCCCCCTTCCTTGCTTTCCTGTAAAGCACTTTCTCTCCCTTTACTTATCTCCCACGAATTGATAATTTCACCCACCACCCCATCAAGAGAGAGGAAAAAATGGCTCGATGATCCATTACAAATGTTGCTCTTCTGGACTCATTCCCAGTCTTATGTCTTATTGTAGGAAACTGGCTCAAAATTCCTCCTTTCCAAAAACAGGTAAATGCAACCCCCTTAGGAGCAATTAGTTCTGAGAAAAGCTTTTCTCAAAACAATTGCCAGGAAATATTGTCTTGACCGATGCAATGTTGGCTTTTTCTCAGCATTGTTATTCCAAGTGATTGAAAATCAGCAGGGTGTTAGCTCCATACACTACGATCTTCACTCAGTTCATCCTCCTCCCTTTCAGGATTATTTCTCTCAGGAAAAAAGCTGTGGTATTTGCAAGAATTGCAGGCGGCTTGCACAGGTTTACCAGTCCCTGGCAAGTCAGCAGTAAGACAAAGTTACGTTTCCAACAGCCAGATCCCTTGGGAAAATGCCAGTGTTCTGCAGAGGGTTAGAACAGAGATTGACCGGCGATTTTTGATAGCCAACCAATTTCTGAAACATTAAAACACTGGCCAGCCATCTTTTGAACAAAGGTAACTTCATTCTTGGAAACAATAACCTCTTGCGCTCCTTTTTCCCCACACATCTTGCTATCCTTCTCCCCAAATATACATAGCTAGGTGGGGCAGGCAACCCTTCTCTGAGGGCTGTGTCCTTTGGGGTGCATCGGGTGGGTGGGGTTGGACCCCAAATGGGTGGGTCACTTTTTTCCTCTAGCCCCTTTTCAGTCTACCACCCCTCTCCCACTTTTCTTTCCCCCTTGCTTCTGGGCAAGCAGCCTGCCAAAGGAGGCCTGGGTGGCTCTTGGCAGTGGCTTAAACTGATCAAGTGAAAAATGGTTTTGAAACTGTGTGTGTTTGCGGGGGGGGGGGGGAACCTATTTTTTAAATTCTTGGCCTGGGGGGGCCTAACTTGCCCCCACAGCTCCCACTGGCTCAGTAAACAAACCAAACAAAGCATCCCTCAAGCTGTCCTGCTGGAGTGGTGCCTGGAGTGGTGTTCTGACAATTTCTTGTGGCCAGAATTTGGGATGTTGCTTCACGTTGGACTTGTTTTCAGGTCTGTGATATAAACCTCAGGGGATGCATAGCTGTGTCTGCATGCTATAGCAGGCATATATACAAACTGTAAGAGGGAAACTTGCTTAATTTGTCTAAAGAAATCCAAGTCCAAACTCCACATTAAAGTTGCAGTCCTGCAAGCTCACACAATCTGGATTAA